AACTGAGCCACCCAGGCGCCCCAGGAGGTACGTTTTTTTTTTTTTTTTTAAAGATTTTATTTATTTATTTGAGACAGAGAATGAGAGACAGAGAGCATGAGAGGGAGGAGGGTCAGAGGGAGAAGCAGACCCCCTGCCGAGCAGGGAGCCCGATGCGGGACTCGATCCCGGGACTCCAGGATCATGACCTGAGCCGAAGGCAGTTGCTTAACCAACTGAGCCACCCAGGCGCCCCATAGTCCTGAATTTTTAAAAGAGCCTCAACCGAGCATTCAGAATGGGATGTGTTCATGGTATATCTGATTACATGTGTCTTGACTGTGGAACCAGACCTATCTTGTCTAAATAGACACACAGAAACCATGGCTCTGATTAATGTTGTCATTTAAAACACATACCGTACCTCTCATAGGAACTGACATTTGAGAGAAATCGGTGTGGAAGAATAATCTGTATTAATAAATGAATAATCTGTATTAATAAATGAGTTCCAACTGAACAGAAAATATGCCCAGGAACTGTGGGGTGTACAGGTGAGGATCTGGACACCTAAGTTAAATTTTCAGGGGAGAGCATGCCATATAAAGTACCCAAGGCTCCCGCTCCCTTTCAAAAAGCTCAATTGGATGTATCATTTTTACCGAAAGTGGAAGCTCTCCTGTTTAGCTATTTAAAGAAAGAAGCTGTTTGTTCTGTATTAAAGGACTTAAGAGGCACAACGGCATATTAGAGCTGGTGATAGGCGGAGAATGCTGGTCTTCACTGCCCACACAGAACAGCATAAACATCAGGCTGGACTGGGAATAACTGTAAGGTAAGCTGGTCATCAGTCTATCATTTCTAGCCACAACATGCTGGAGAGGAACGGTATGGGCTCTGGAGTCAGACAGAACGAACAGGACAAGTTCAGGCCTACCCTTTCCCAGCTGACTGACCTTAGCCCCATTCTGTGCCTGTTTGCTCAACTGTGAAATGAGCCTACTTTGCAGGGTCACTGCAAGAATGAAGTGGTGAAGCGTCAAGCACAGGCCTGGCTCACAGGAAGCCTTGATTCGATTGGAGCTGCTGTTAGCACCACTCCCAGCACCACAGGCTTTATGACGTGTTGGAAGGCTATCTGATCCTGAGACAGATCAATGGTGGAGGTTTTCAAGGAAAGGAAACAATAAATTGGTAATCACTTATGCGTGGTGTGATATCGGAGAGCAGCACGGGCCCTGATGCCCTGTGGAAAGGCAGAACCCATCCTCCCTGTATTTTCCGTGCCAGGTACCTGACTGTGAACATTTCATTCTTACAACGGTCGGTTCTGGGGGGGAAAACCTGGAGCCAATAGCCCTTTAAAAAGAGACTGTCTTCTTGCCAAAAAAGAGCAGTTAACCACAGTCTGGTTACTAGGTACATTTGTGTTCTTGATATTTTAAAGATCCAGCAAAGAGCTTCAAAGGTTCACCCAAAGTGGAGAGAAAGTAGGTGGTGGGAAGAAAGGCTACAAGAGAGTTGGGAGTCATTCACTCCAGACAAGAGAGGGTTTGACAGATGCCAGACATATTACATGTTAGGATGCTGAGGGTGCTCTGCTATCTTTCCCCTCCATCCAATAGTAGAAGGACTCCTATACTCAGTATTTTCCTTGGGTGGATAATTTCCCTTCCTGAAGCAGAGGGGTCAACCAGGTGACCTTGAGAGATCTCTTCTAGTTCTAAGCCTTTGCACAAATACGGAAGAGCAAAGAGGCACTCAGCTCATCAATGTGGGGCTGGGTTCCAGCTGCATCTCTTTACAATGAGGCTGAGGTAGCTTGGTACAGCAGAAGGTGTGGGAGCCAGGAGTCAGGCAGGGGTGGGTTTGACCCTGTCTCTGAAACTCACTCTTGGGCATGTTATGGTAGTAAAAGAACTCAACTCTGCCCTCAGCTGTAGCATGGTGAGAATCTCTGCCTTCTAGGGTTCCTGAAAGGATTAACTGAAATAATGTTGGCAAAGCACCTAATATTTTGACTGGCACATGTAAGCCTTCGATAAATTGGAGCTATTATTCTGGATGGTTAAAAAATGGGTTGAAAAATTAATGCCCTTCTGCTTATAGTTCTCTCATGCTAGGAAATGTACAAATTCAAGTGGGCAGACCAACAGCACCTTGGCCCACAGGATCCACGCTGCAAGTAGAGCCTGTCCGTGCCAGAGAATGTTTGAGGGGGCACCTTATTAACTACCCCGGTGCAAGGAAGCAGAGGATGCTGAAGACAAGGTCTAAGTCATCTTCCTAGGACTCTGGTTTCGCCTACAGTCACTGTAAGAATCAAACGAATGATTTTTTTTTTTTTAAAGATTTTATTTATTTGTTTGACAGAGAGAGACACAGCAAGAGAGGGAACATAAGCAGGGGGAGTGGGAGAGGGAGAAGCAGGCTTCCCGCTGAGCAGGGAGCCCGATGCGGGGCTCGATCCCAGGACCCTGGGATCATGACCCGAGCCGAAGGCAGACGCTTAACGACTGAGCCACCCAGGCACCCCTCAAACGAATGATTTTTAAAGAGGTTCCAAATACATTTCCAGGTATAAGGAATATATCACATCCTACTGATTCGTCATTCACACCAAGCACAGTAAAAACATCCATCAAAAAAAGCAGGTGTGCAAACCAAACTGATTGTCAAAAATTATAATTAGGATTTTTTTCCTTCCCGAATGATACAAAGCTAAAAATGGAAGTCACAAAGAAATTAATCAGCTCTTGCAAAGCAATGAAATACAGCGGCCAGAACCCTGTACCAAGTGAAAGGAACTCCTATCACTACCAGACTCTTCCACAAAATGTAAGCTTTTGGTGTCACATCAATGTGGAATCACATATTTAGGTTACAGAAAGATGCCGGAGGCTGAGACAGAACAGCTCTGGGTTTTGTTCTTTACCCGTGGTGGGGTCTGTGGCAGGACGCCTGCAGGCTGCGGAGAATCGGAGAAGACAGAGGAAACACAAGGTACAAACAAGCACATAAACTGAGGCCCACAGAGAGCTGGGCCAGAAACACGGGAGTGTTTCCTGAAGCCCCTCTGTGTCGCTCAGAGGATCAGACTTGGCTTGAAGAACACATCCTGTTTCCACGTCAAAGGGGGAGCAGGTTCGAGCTGATAGGACCAAACGCTACAGACAAGGGAGCAGAACAATGAAGTTGGAACTGATGGAGTCACATGAAACAGCAGCTTATTTTTGTTGGGAGGGAACAAACACAGGGATGACCCATTGCCAAAAGACCCCAGATACATCAGGGGGCCGGACAAGGCCCCTTGGGGATGCCTGTCGATGTGAGATCGAGGCCGGCCATCGTGCCATTAAGCTCCTAAGTAGGAATCTCACACGACAGTGTAGAAGTAATCCTTCTATTACCAAAGGATAAGAGTTACACTGTGGGGCCAAGGTAAAACTCGTTCTTCCAACTGCATAAAATTCAAGTGGCAACAAGCCGCTGAGCTGGTGAAACAGTCTGGAGCAGGTAAACCCAAACACTCTGTAAGCTCAGTGCGAGGTCCATCGTTTTCAGACAGCTTTTTAGAAGTGAGGGTACAAAATGTCCACGGCAATCTATGGCATCCATCCTTCCTTTGCTTAAAGTAATCATTTTATCATGCTGGCTTACAACCATAGAGATTACAAATCCGACCGCCTGGGACTTATGCGGACTTTATCATTATTTTTTTTTGTGTGGAATACTTGGATAAAAGAACAAAAAAACCCAAATGGCAACTAATATAAGAATCAAGAACACCATGGAAAGAAAAGAAATTATGAAACAGGAAATTCAAGGAGAAGAAAAGTATCTACAACACTATAACCTCAAAAGTCCTCATTACCCAGGGGACATTAAAATCAATGTTTTACTTCCCTTGTGCCTCTCTCTTGAGTCCCCACGAACAAACTGGTCTAAACGGCAGATTCTTTCGGTGTGTGAGCAACTTCTCGGGAAAGGGACAAACCCTTTCAGCAGCTTTATTCAGTATTTTAGATAATGTGGATAAATGCCAGTAAAAGTCTGTTCAGAGCCTTCAGAGAGCTACTGGCTTGAAGAAAGAGAGGTACTTTTTAAAATGCCTATCTCAATACCAAGGAGGAAATCACGGCCTTGAGTATCTAATCCAATCCTGTGAGATCACATGACATTCGATGTTAACAAGGGACAGAGGATCCACGACACCTTAATTCTAACCTTAAGATCAAATGTGTTAATTTACAATTAAGGGGTAAGAAAATCTCCTCCTTATCTGGATTTTGATAGCTTATAACACATTCACCAAGAGACCTTAAAAGTTCTGGTGACAAGAAGAAGTTGCTAAAGACTTTCAGGCATTTCGACCATGTTCCTCGTCATATCAGTGTCCTAGACTCACTACAGGGATTTCACTGGATTTTTCCTTCTTCTGGATTTTTCCTTGATTTTTAAAGTAAAATAGACATTAGTGCTTCATTTCATTTTGGAAACGTGCCTTGTGAATGATTTCAGAGGTATTTTTCTTTCTTTTTAAAAACGACCTTCAAATAAAAATAATAGACTTTTCAGATAACAAAGCCCAAAGCAAATAACATGAGACTCTGCTAATATGGTCATGAAAAGACCAAAGAGACCTTCTGAAGTGGGGTGGCCAAGCACTAAAATAACTTAAAACATTCTAACAAAAGGTAAATAAATTACCATTCAGGAAAATAGCAATCAAAGCAGCTCAGGGCCAGAGCACACCAGAATCCTCTAGCTATCGTCCCAGTTTAATGAACACTGGTTGTTTTAAACGAGGGACTTCCTGGGAGGGACCTAGTTTCAAGGCAGACTGCTTTTCTTGACATCAGAAAACAATACCATTTTTTTTCTTTTTTCTTAAACACAGCGCAGAACCCAACACATTTCAAGGCCATATGTTGTGGCTTTTGTTGATTTATGAAGCAGCTGCAGGTTTTGGAAAGGAAATCGTACTCAAGCTCAACCGCACGGCAGCGGTCTTGGTTTACCTGCCATATGCAAAACGCCTGTCCTTGTGATGATCGCCGAAAGTATCCCAAAGCCTGAGAGAGACGCTCACTTCATCCACAACATCCCGGGAACGCTCCAGGACCTGCAGGAGAGAGAGTGCATTCCTGCTCAGTGTCATTCAGAGGCTCCTCAGCAGAAGAGTGCGCAGGTCAGCACCCTCCAGGCCCACTTGTCCCACCTGCATTTAGCTTTCTTGTTCCATCTAACAGGACTTGAGCTAAGTCCGAATTCTCTTCCTGGAATCACACCACTCAAACCCTCCTCGTTCAGGATAGGGTAGCCAGACTCCCAAGGGCGCACTTTGCTTTTGTTTTCTCTGGCGGCACTAAGAACATTAGCTTGATTTTGCATGCACAAATTACCCCGACCCCCTTTTAAAATCAGACTGGCAGCAGGAGGGATGTCCCCTTAGCAGTCTAAAGAAACTCTATACCCCTTACCTCCTGGCACACTCGGTACTGGTCAATCGCCCACACAGTAGGCACGTGGGTGGCCAGCAGCTGATACTGTGTCAGCGTCGTGTTGCACGCCCTGGCACAGATCAAGCGCGTCTTCCCCACAGCATTGTCTCCCACGACCACACACTTGATGGTTTCAACGTTGGGTCTTTCGTAGTCCATGTCAGTGTCCATTTATAAAGCTCTGTAAGAAGACAGTGACGGAGCAATCAAAGACGAGAGCGGTCCAGGCGCTTCTCTGGAGGTGCCCAAGCATAAGCAAGAAGTTTGGAAGTTCATACGAAGCTTAACTCAAACTCAGGTTTTCTATTTATGTCTCACACAAGTACAAAAACATCGCCGGATTGTTATTTTGACCCCAAATGGTTTATTCCTGTTACCATGTTATTTTCTCCTTGGTTTTCTCTAAACACAACCTGCCTACTGAAAAGCCATCCAGGCAAGTCAGGACCATTGGCACACATTTACAGTTCACTAGCTACTCGTGTGCACCCACGAAAGAGACCGGTCACCTGCAGGGTTAACTTTAGACATCGGGGCGTAAGCTGCCTTGGTGATATCAGCATCCACACCATCACAATCTTCCACCGACCCCAAATCTCCCACTGAAAGGCAGTTTACTGTAGGTTCTCCACTATCATGGGTGACTTAGAGGGGGATCCAAAGTGCAAGCAGAAAGGATTACTCGGCTTTAAAGAAGGGTAAACTGTAAAACTGAATTTTGATACAGCCATAAAATCAATTTATATTTATTCATCTGTTTTTATTAATCAAATTCATAAAAATGGTATTCTCAAGAGGGGCATCATAAAGCAATATACTTTTAAGTTCTCTTTCTGTTTTCATCAAGAAATCTGGAACATATGGTAAAGAATGATTTTACCAGGATGAGGAGCTAGTTTGGAATCTTCCTGAAACCATCAAAAAGGTTTAAGAGGGTTGTTGCGTGAGGGGTCAAAAGGAAGAGAGAAAGCTCTTGCCAGCTGCCCACCCGCCTGGGGGCAGGAACTTCCACAAAATACAAAGCGGACTGCTTCCTGGCAGCAGCTGGATGGGTGACCAACCATGTAAGATTTTAAGATTTTAATGAATTGTAATTGCCCTTTTGAGGAAGTCTATTGTTAAATGGAGAAAACTGGTTAGATGGTCACTTTAAAAAAATTATTATTAGAGAGAGAGAGAGCGTGCGAGCAGGAGAGGGGCAAAGGGAGAGGAATAGAAAGAGAGAGAGAGAGAGAGAGAAGCAGACTCCCTGCTGAGCATGGAACCCAATGTGGGGCTTGATCTCAGGACCCTGAGATCATGACCTGAGCCGAAATCAAGAGTCGGATGCCTAACCGACTGAGCTGCCCAGGGATCCCTAGATGGTCACTTTTAACAAGTTGAGAGTGATTTTAATGGCTATAATGGTCAAGAAACTGTTCAGAGTAGGGCTTAATACATATCTGGGACTCAGTAAGTCACCTGATTTGAGAAAACAGATAATTTGGATAATATGAGATTAAGAGTATAGAGGGAGAGACAGAAGGAAGGTTATTAAGTAGAATGAATACTTCTTCCCAGTTTGTACCATCTGAACACGAGATTGTCTCCTGTAACACCATCACAGGAGGTGTTAAAACTGAGGCTAGAGACTATTTGGCAAGAATTGAGTGGAGTGATTCAAAGAACAGATGTGTGGTGAGGTTAGGATCTGGTCTGTGGTTCGAACGCCACAGAGAGGCTTAAAATAGACAGATACCTGTTCCCCACCTGGCAAATGCAGATTTTGAAGGTCTCGGGTGGAGAAAGAGGCTTAAAAAAAACTCCAATTCAATTCTGATGATCATTCACATGTGGTGACTCCTCAAATTGATCTCTTCAAAATCTAGCCTATGGTTTTATTAGTTCCCGATTTCATAGTATAATGGGGCATAAGCCTGACTTTGGGATTAGACCAGTGGTCCTTAAATATCTGCTGGAGAACATTTAACAAAGTCTGGAGATATTTTCGGTTGTCACATGGGGTGGGGGAGTGCTACTGGCTTCTAGTGGGTAGAGGCCAGAGATGCTTTGAAACATACTACAGTACAAGGGACAGCCCCCACCACAAAGAATAATCTGGCCCCAAATGTCAAGAGTGCTGAGGTTGAGAAATCCCTGCCTTCGAAGGGATGTGAGTTTGAATCCTAGTCTCCCCATTTTCCAGCCATTTGCCATTGGGTGAGGTATTTGTGCTTTTAGCCTCAGCTTCCTCATCTGTTAAATAGGAATTCTAGTACCAGTCTCCTCAACTAGTGAGGGTTAGGTGAACTGATGTAGCTGACACACTGATGACCCCAAAGATTATAATTATAATGATGAAGATGAACACCTTGAATTCAGTCAGGCAGGAAGACCAGAATTGGATGCAAAATCAGAAACCTAATAACCACAAAGACCTATAAAAAGGATACATTTTAGTAGAGTAATTAAAGAGTAATTCACTGAAAAACAAAGAACATAGGTACAAGATGGAGCATATACCTGATGTTACGCAAAGAAGGCAAAAAAGTTCTGGGTGGGAGCTGGACATAATTAGCTAAATGACAATGCAGTTGGAAAGGTAGGTTAAAAACATTTGGGGGGCCTGGGTGGCTCAGTTGGTTGGGCGTCTGCCTTCGGCTCGGGTCATGATCCCAGGGTCCTGGGATCGAGCCCTGCGTCGGGCTCCCTGCTCAGTGGGGAGTCTGCTTCTCCTCCCCACTCATGCTCTCTTCTCGCTATCTCTGTCTCTCTCTCAAATAAATAAATAAAAATCTAAAAAACAGTATTTTTCTGGGGTATTTCTAGATTCTAGAGTAAAAATGCTAACAGTTGTTATTGATAAGAAACTTGGTATGTTTCTGGTGATACTACCAAGGGGCACCCTGTGTCAGAAAAACAGGATCTATTTAGAGCCCCACAACTCTGGAGCCTGAGGTATAGTATTTTGATTGTCCTAAGTGGTAGAAAACCTTTCTCTTTTAAAAGTGAATTTTATTTTTTAGGTAGATAAAAATCATAGAGAGCCAATCCTTAAAATTTGGGGGCATGTTTGGATTTAGTCAAAACTGAAATAGACATAAAAAATACATGGTTGGGGGTGCCTGGGTAGCTTAGTCAAGCGTCTGCCTTCAGCTCAGGTCATGATCCCGGGGTCCTAGGATCAAGCTCTGCATCGGGCTTTCTGCAGCGGGGAGCCTGCTTCTCCCTCCCCCACTCCCCCTGCTTGTGTTCCCTCTCTCACTGTATCTCTCTCTGTCAAATAAATAAATAAAATCTTTTAAGAAAAAATACATGGTTGGTCTTCTTGTTGGCTTGCAAAATAGCTTTGAGAGCAGCTCTCAAAAAGGAATCCCTCAAATAATTTGAAACATGACAGAGTTGGTGGAATAGCTGTAGAGCTTTCACAGAAGACACACTGAAGTGGATAAAAGCCCTCCTGGTTTTATGTTAAGGCTATGATTACAAAAATATCATTACTTATTTATAGACACATCTCATGCACAGTCCTAAAAAGAATTTCTGTGTCAAAGGTGAGAATAACATCCGTGGGTCCTCTAATCTGTAGCAATCTGCTCAAAACTGAAGTGACTGCCAAAGGTGCTGGGCCTCGTACAAAGGGGACAACAAGTAAGGGAAATAAAAGGCAGGGCAGAATTCAACACTCATAGCCCAGATCACTCACTCGAGACATGGCATTTCCAGGAAGGGTTTTCTGGATTTCCAAATACTTAAAATCTTTTCTTTTGGGTAGAAATTTTATTTTGTGGTAATCTGAAAATACATCTACACGTGTATTGTGAACCCATTATTTATCTGTTACACATAAATATTAAATTATGATAATTATAAAAATATGCAATTTTATCCTTCTTTACTTGTTATGGGCTCTAATTTATTCCTATTTGGGCACTCTTATGGTTGAATGAGCTCTTAGGACCATCTGGTTAATGACTATCTGGTTTCTGATTTTTATTTACCTAGAATGAGAGCAATAAATATTATTCAGTTAACACTGTTAATAAATTTCACCACCAGGATTCCTGCTGATCAGTGCAGACACACTTTTGCCTTCAGATCCCTATCTGAGGAGACAAAGAAAGTATAATAAAAGAAAAAGAAAAGCTAGGAAGGACAGACACTGGTAACCTGTTACTATGGCAGCTTTGTAATCTTACTCAAACTGACTTGGACTTCGTTTCATACTTTCACTGAATCCTGGGGACATGGACGCTGACCATGAAGTGCTGAAGAAGGTATCCACACATTCTGGACATCAGAGCGGGACGTTTATTAAGACTGGCAAGTGAATAAGATAGTGTGGGGGGTGGGGAGTGAGGACTCAGTGAGGGGGTGCAGGGTGGCTGCCCCTGGGTGCTGGTGCCCACCATCCCCAGGCTGCTTAGAGACTGTGGTCATGACCTCCTGGCTGTCCAGTTCGCCCCAGGTGCCCACGCCATGATTACTGTAACCTTCTGGACGTCACGTCCCTCCTCCACATTCACCACCAACTCAGCTTTCTTGCTGTGTCCACGGGGTGATGTGTTCCACACTCTGGCCCCACAGTCCCTCCACCTCTTCAGCACCAGTGACCTTCCCCGCACTCTCCTTGAGCCCCTCATACTTTTGGTCATGTACTGGACATTGTCCGCCAGAAACATTTTACCCCTGAAATCTCAAGTTTCAAAATCCTCCTCTTAAAGGAAAAACACCTCTCTTCAGGGCCTGTGCTAGGGGAAATGTGGTCACGACAGCAACTCTCATCAGGAGATGGAATCTATTTCCCTTTGTCTTGAATTCGAGCTATGTGACTGTGCGGCCTGATCTAGAAGAATGTGGTGGTGAGACTGTGTGGGTTCCAGAGCCAAAGTCTCCAGACGCCCTCAGCTCCACCCTCACGCTGCGGGAATGCTGTCCTGAGGCTGTCATGTCAGGAAGCCGGCCAGGCCTAGCAGAGGAATGGAATTCACAGCGAGAGTAACCGAGGTCGCCTGCCTATGGCTTCACCACATGCCATGGAGTGTTGCTACTTGCACCCTCTGGCCCGGCCAACTCTCCAGCTGAAGGAAGCTTTATGAGTGAGCCCAGCTAAGGAATCACCTAGGCAACCTACAGATTCATGAGAAAGTAGATTATTGTTTTAAGCCACCAAGCTTTGTGGTGATTTGTTACGTATCAGTAACACACCCATTATACATTAGGAAAATCACCAGGACCTTGACTCCTTCTCCTATTTTTTTTTTTCCTTTTTAAATATCAGATTATAGGTCCCTTTTGGGTGGATGATCTTTCCTACCTAGGGCTGGTGGATCATGCCAACTTTCTCTTCACCATCACCCTCCACATCTTTATTGCATGTGTGTCAGGCAGAATAATGTCCCTCAAAGATGTTCATGTCCTCATCTCTTGGATCTGTGAATGTATTCTATTACATGGCATGGGGGAGTTAGGGTAGCAGATGGAATTAAGTTGCTAATCGCTGATTTTAGCATAAGGAGGTCATTCTGGATCGTCTGGGTAGGTCCAATGCAATTGCTCAGGTTCTTTCATGTGGAAGAAGGAGGGAGAAGATCAGAGTGAGAGGGATATATGAAGATGCTACACTGCTGGCTTTAAAGATGGAGGGAAAGGCCATAAACCAAGGAATGCAAGCGACCTCTAGAAGCTGGAAAAGGAAAGGAGACATATTTTCTCCTAGACCCTCCAGAAGGAACACAGCCTACCAACATCTTAATTTTAGCCCAATGAAACCCATTTCAGACTTTTAACTCCAGAACTATAAGATAATAAATTTGTTTTGTTTTAAGCTACTAAGTTTTTGATAATTTTTAAAGAAGATTTTATTTATTTAACAGAGAGAGAGAGAGCACAGGCGTGTGTGTGTGCAAGCGGGGGGAAGGGCAGAGGGGGAGGGAGAGGAAGAGGGAAAGAATCCCAAGCAGACTCCATGCTGAGCGCAGGGCTCTATCTCATGACCCTGAGATCATGACCTGAGACAAAACCAAGAGTCGGATGCTTAACTGAGTCACTCAGGCACCCCAAATTTTTGGTAATTTTTTACAATAGCGACAGCATGCTTCTGCCACACAAAATGGCCTCCTAAATTTTAAATGTTGTTTGCTACCTCAGAGCCTTTACACATACTATTCCCCAGCCAACCCTCTACCATTCCTTGTCTGCCTGGCAAATTCTGTTCATTCCTTAAAACCTTATTCAGATATGACCTCCTCTAAAAAGTTTTCCTAATTGCCCTGCCTCCACATAGACCGATTTATTTCCTCCTTTGTATCATAAATGGTTCTAGGAGAATCAATCACAATCACAATGACACAGATACACTCGGTTTTTCCTATGTTAGCAAACCACAAAATGGTGGTTTGATAACTTTGTATTTTTCCTGTGGCTACACCTTCAAAGTGCCCATCTCATGCCCTTAATGAATCATCACGTGTTTCTGGGGTACTAACACGTGCCAAAGTGCTTGGAATGTAAGTGTATACCATGCCCCACTTCTGTAAAACTTTCTTTGACTATTCATTCGGGTCCACAGGTCCCCCAATTTATTTGTGACTCTCTTCTAGGGACAACCATAAGCCAAAGAGTGACATAACCAAATGTGAGCTTACCTGCCCTGGTCTCTTTTTCAAATCATTTCTCTTCCCAGGGTGGTACTCTGTTCCCACTTTCAGGCTTGAGATGATGGCCTTCCTGATGTCCTGTTCATCTTTTAAGACCCAGGCTCTTAGGAAGTGTCAGGCACTTTCACTATGGCTCAATAACACGACGGCTAGATGACCATCACCGTCCTGTCTCCATAATTCAGTAATTCCAAGGCACTGTGGCTGATGAAGTACAAGATACTCTTATTCCCCCTGGATAGCTGCACTTCAGTATAGAGCCACTCTTTGAGTCCAGCTCAGTGTGTTAGTCTCTCCTACTATGAGAAATTCAGATATTAGGGAGGGTAGGCAGGGAAGGCTTATCGTTTGTCTACATCTTACTAGGCATCTTCTAATTGCTCCAAATCACCCCAACACTGGAATACACCATCTCTTACCATCGCCTGTGTTGTGTTTCTTGTTAAGTTTGCTATTTGAATCAAAGCATGGTGAGCAGTCTGCTTAAAGGCAAAACTCAAAGGCCCATCGAGGGGCCTTTGTACTTTCAGTTCATTCGGTTGTTCATAGATGGTTTGAACAATGTGTCACACAGCCACTAAATTTTCTTGTCCTTTAGAAAAGCATGTAATCTGAACTTTAAGAAATAATTTAACATGGTCACTAAAAAATACTGGTGGAACACATTTTAGTGTATTTGAAGAGTGAGCTCAGAAAGAAAAACTGGGAATTTTATATTATTGATGGAAACAAAAGAGAAATGTTAAGAGTTGCATAATAACCATAGCCAACAGCCAAGTTTCAGCTGTGCAGATTTCATTATCCTGAGCTCTTAATCACCAGTCCTAGGCAGGCAGGAGCTGCTCTGTGCATAATATAAACATCTCAGCTGGAATGGAGAGTGGGTCCAGATCTGGGAAAGAGACAGTCAGGGTTGGGCTGCACTTCCCTAAATCAAAAGTTTACAGAAATGTATCTCCAGGATAAAATTGCCTTTCATCGTGCAAATCAACAATATTTTTTTCAACTGAAAGTTTTGATTAAAACAGAAAGGAAAAGAGTTTAAGTAACAGAAAGGACAGCGCATGTTAAGTCCAGGATTACAGATAATACAGAGGTACTTTTTTAAACATCCACTTGTTATCCTCGCCAGAGCCCTGTGATAATGGAGACCTACACAAGATCACACTCTTTTTTTTTAAACTCGATGTCAGTGGGGGAGGTGAGCCAGGATTAGAAATAAACTTGCTATCTATCTACTGCTCTTAATAAATGCTGCCCCAGTTGAAAAATAAAGAACAGATAAAAAACTTAGCTTAAAAGATGCATAAAAAATTCAGGATAGGTTTCAAAACCACCATAAGTAAACTGTGTGCTATCTTCTAGACATACTGGGTGACTTTTGTCTACAAATATGCTGACTCTGCTCTTGCCACTCTGCTCAGATGTCCTTTCTCATGCCCCTGACCTACCACTGAAATTGTTCTGCACCTTTAGGACTCAGGCCGTCTTTTTTTTTTTTTTTAAAGATTTTATTTATTTACTTGACAAACAGAAAGCGAGAGAGGGAACACAAGCAGGGGGAGTGGGAGAAGCAGGCTTCCGACTGAGCAGGGAGCCCGATGCGCGGGGCTCCATCCCAGGACCCTGGGATCATGACCTGAGCCGAAGGCAGATGCTTAACAACTGAGCCACCCAGGCGCCCCAGGCAGTCTTAGTTCAAGAAAGAATAGGCTGAGCACTTAGTGAGCGCCGGGCCCCTAGGACAGGTACACAGCGGTAAGCAAGCTGGGTGTGGCTCTTGTTCTCATGGACCTCGCAGTCAGGTGGGAGAAACAGGTAGATGTAATCATAACCTTGATTTAAGTTCCTCGAAGGAAAAGGAAAGGGTGTTATGAGAGAAAATAATGGGTGGGAGGCCTGCAGGAAAGACAAGGGAGGCCTCTTTGAGGAGGGCCCACCTTCTTGCTACCTGAAGAATGAGCAGGGCCCAGTCATGAGATTGCAAAGAAGCAGGCCTGCAAGAGCTCAGGCCTGCAAGAGCTGGGGCCAGGGGAACTGGAGAGGGGAAGGTTGGAAAGAAGGCAGGGGCCACATCACACGCGGCCTTTTAGGCCACAGGAGGGAACTTGGGTTTTATTCTAAATGCAGTGAGAAGCCACTGAAACGTTGTGGGCAAAGGAGTCACGGGTTCTGATCTGCTTTTGAGAAGCATCACTGATACCTCCAGGACTGCTGTGTGGGGAGCAGCGGCAGAAGGACCAGTGAGGATGTTCCCAGGTTCTCTGGGGGGTGGGGGGGAACGTTTGGACCAGGAATCAGCAGAGATGGAGCTAAGTAGATGAACACAAGTTATATTTTGGAAGAAGATGCACTTAAAACATTCTTCCTTTATACTAGCTCCTCAGATATTTACCAAATTCTGATTTGTTAATATTGACAATTATGCTGACATGTATGTACTTGCTTGCATCTCACTAAGACTGTACATTTTTTGGCAATAGAGACTGTTACTCATCTTTAAATTCTCAAGTCTTTTCAATGCCTTGGCCATACGTGGCTTTCAATTAATATTTGTTCAATAGGATATAAAAGTACAGCCATTCCACTTTCCTCAGGAAACCTTCCCCCTGGATCTGGCAGCGAACTTGCACTCAGCTATCTCTGGTGACTGATCACTAAGCCTATGGCCTCAAGAGCAAAGGCGTGTGGCTAAGCCCACAGTCAGTGAGAGGAACACCTTGAGGGACATCTGTGTGGCCCATCATGAGAGCGGTATTTGACAGATGGCATCACACCAGCCATGGCTCCCCATCAAGAAGAGCATCAGTAACTATGGGAACACCAGGGACGAAGGACCAGTCCCCTCCACCAAACGATAAGGCAGGGGGCAGAAGGAGCCCCAATAGAGGCAGGCAGGAGCTTAGGGCTGAAACTGATTTAGGAAAAAAAAAGGAATGTGATCATTTATTTTGTTCTAGTGCCTAGAGACAATTTATGAGTCTTAATACTATTTACATATAAGGGTCTCATAAAATTCCCATCAACTTTTGGACTTTAACATCCGCATTCAAGGGATTTCTAACTCTTTGGGTGAGGTCAGTGATTGGCTGGCAAAGAAGGGGAGAATGGAGGCACATGTACCCACTCCCTATGGAGAAGGATGTATCATTGACATGAAAGTGAATCTTGAATGAGGAAATTCAATCTCTGCTAAAAGACATCACAAGAGGTAATTCGTTGGACTTGAAGGCAAGACAGCATTGGAAGAATACATGCATTGGATCCCCTGCTACCTGGTCTCACTGAAATTAACCTTATTCTCCACAGATAGCAGACTCCACGACAGTACCAGAATAAGGATAACGAGTAGCCATATACCCGAAATTGGAAGGATTTCTGCCACACTCACTGCCATGGTGCCCAGTCACGGAAGACCAGCAGACTGCCCATTTCCACAGGGAAAAGAACTGGGCTGGGCGGTAAGCAGGATGCCCCTCCCCACAGATGCCCATGGTCTGGAGTAATGAGAGCTGGCTTGAGTTGGGACTGAGGTAGAAGAGCAGGCTGTGGAGCCACTGGAAAGCCATGAGGAACCCTGCACGCTGTCCTGGGAAAGGAGCAGCCCCAGTGATTGCCCCTGGCTGAGAACGAGCCAGGTAGACAGCACTGAGCATGGGAAAGACTTATTTTATTTTGTTTTTCTTCCTGCTTACCCAGGCGGTTTCAATTTCGACACTGCAACAGAAGTGATGGGTCTTGTTAAGGGGAAAGGGATCGGGGTAGGGGTACCACCTCTAAGACCGACCACTAGTATATCTTCAGTGGTGACATCCCTCACTGCTCTTCTTAAGTCAACCCTCCACAGTTCCCTTGACCCGTACGATACTGAATAGTGTGGCCTGTCCACTCTGGAACTGGGCGGGTTCACTCCAGAGCCCTACCTTGGTCTCCAACAGAGCCCTGGTTATCCAAGCACTGAATATACTTCAATCCTTGGTCACCGGGAATCTTTTTCTATATGGCTGAAGTAAACAGACCATTCACCATATGGTCTATTAAAGACCCTGACACGCAGAAAAGGACAAGAAGTTAGTTAGCCAAAGACATAGAGGAAAGGTCTTCTACTGAAGTAGTTGTGCTATAAGGAACAGCAGAAAAAAAAAGTTTTTAAAAAATATCTGTTGTTGTTAGGGAGTTTGGTTGGTACAACCTATGCTTTGGGGGATTTTTGTCCTTATGGTGGGTTAGTCAACTTCTGTAAATGTGCCAAGAACACTTGAAAGTACACTCTCTTATCACAGTTTTTTTTTTTTTTTTAATGTGGGATAGCATGTAGTTGATCATGCAAAAGAAGATAATGCAGGTGTGTAAACTAACAGCAGAGGAAGCTACCAGCAGGCAAGAAGACACGTAAAGGCCATGTTTAAATGAAATACAAGACAGCCAAATTACAAACCATAGTGGCAACAGGAAATAGCCTTGAAGATGCAGTAGAATGGATTAGTGAGGGTCAGGTAAAACGTGAGAAGCTCTAAGTATAGGAGGAAGGCCATGTGAAAATGATGTCGCGGAAGATAATAAAGAGGCTGACAGTCAATAAGCAATCCCCAGAATACTATAGGGCTTCTGGAGGAACTCAAGGAGTAAAGTGTGGTTTAATAGAACAAAATTTTCCCAATACAAAAAGGAGGATGGGACATGGAGAAGAAGGAGAAAAAGAAAAGAAGACTCTACATCTATACATTTTTCAGTAAAACATTTAAATAACGATGCCAGAAAAATGATATAATAACCCTACAAATACCTTAGCAAAACATCTTCTAAAACTAATGGCCAAAGACATTTCTTTCTATAAAGAAATAATAATATGGATGACCACACACTTCACCAATGCACTATTTTAAGACAACAGAAAAACACATAGAGAGCCTTCACAGAAAAAGGACATAATCACAAGTTTCTGAATCTGGTCAAATTGTTATTTATGTAAAGGGAACATAAAGCTATTTTTAGATATCAAAGACTCAGGGAGCAAAAACTCAGATTTCTTTAAGGAATGAAACTGCTCAAAGATACTTGACAAAACACCCAGAGATGATTCAAAATTAAGAACTAAAAAAAAAAGAGGGGGGCATCTCAGTTTAAAAGGACTATGGAAACCAAAACCAACTGAAAATGTAAAACTAGCCTTCACTGTTACTTTGATTTTGGTTTCAAAGTGGTATAGAAAAAATATCTCTAAAAGATAAACAGTAGAAAAAGGGCAATTCACAGTAAATGCATAACAGTAATAATGAACCTTCACAAACCAAAA